ACCTGTTCCTCCATGCTCACCTCCCCTGCCCTCACCTGCTCCCCCATGCTCACCTCCCTGCCCTCACCTCCCCTATGGTCACCTCCCCCGCCCTCAGCTCCCATGCCCTCAGCTTCCCTGCCCTCACCTCACCTGCCCTTACCTCCCCTGCCCTCACCTCCCCTGCCCTCATCTCCCCAGCTCTCACCTGCTCCCCCATGCTCACCACCCCTGCCCTCACCTTCTCCACGCTCACTTCCCCTGCCTTTTGACCTCTCCCCTTTGCTTGATTTGTCCATTAGCAAAACAGAATTTGCTCTGGTACCTCCCGTCTTAGAGAACAAAACCAAAAGGTCTCACTGTGTTCCTCTCTCTTCTACACCCCTAGACAGATTGTCCAGTCCCCTCATCCCCACTCTGTCCCCCATCTTCCTCCCTGTCTGTCTTCTCCTGCCAAATCATTCCAAATCCACCCTGCTGGGCTGCCCTTCCTCAGAGCTGGGTCCTGCGTTCCCTATTCCATTAACGTTCGACCCGTTTTCTCTCCAGCTCAGAATGCCTCTGTAAGACCCAACTGCTGCCCCCATCCCTGCGGAGCTGCCTAACATGCATCAGGTGGGACATTTACAAGGCAGAGCCCCTCTTCAGCCCCCACCGTCCAGGTCCACATCCAATGTCTAAGGCAAATCCTCTCCGCCCTTATCCTCGGCTCCTTCCTGTCCATCTCTGCATCCGATCTGATCCGTCTCACACACACCCTGACTTCTGCTGTGCCTCACGACCTAGAGTCTAGATCCTATTTGATCTCAGAGAGGGGACCGGGTGCCCTGCACAACAGACTCTCCACCCTGCCTCCCGCAGAGCTGACGCTCCTCCACCCCCCAGCCAGGCACGTCCCGTCTTTAACTCCACTCTGAAATCACGTGGTCATCACCACGCAGGCTCCCGATCCTGGCCTTCTGGAGTTTATGCTGTGTCAGCCACTCCCTAGTCATGGCAGTGGGGTCTGAGACGGAGCAGACACACGTCTGATTAAATTCACCGCGTGTATTCAGTGCTTGCAGGAGAACAGCGGTGATTGAAGATGGTTAGTGTTTTCTACGCAATTACTGACCTTTTGTGTGCAATACGTACCCAACTTTAATTAAATGAAATGTCTGCAGTGGGCGTGGGTTTTATTTCATTGAATTTTGACATGATAAATGGCTGTTCTGTTCTGACTTTGTACGTCTGTGCAAGAAGCACAACGAAGATATTAATCCGCTTCCTTGCTTTAGCAGTCACAGAATACTGAACATGTAATGCATTTGCAGTGATCTCAAGTCCTTGCTCTGAGCTTCAGTTGAGACTTTATTGTGATAAACTTGCGGAGGAGTGAACACTTTGGGGAATGTGTATCAGCCATCAGAACGTGCTCTAGTTAATGTAAAACAAAACCGAACCCTCACAAGAGGTTTTAAAAAATTCTTCTTTAAAAGGGAAATATAAAAAAAATTGTTTGTGCTATTCCTTAGCCTTGACTTTAATCTAAAAGTGTGCTGTAGAGTACACATTCCCGCCCTCCCGTGGCTGTCGGCCTCGAGGTTACAAAGCACTGGCTCAGGCTTCTAGTGGATTCCACAGCAGATCAGCGCTGTGTGATTGTTTGTGCTATTCCTTAGCCTTGACTTTAATCTAAAAGTGTGCTGTAGAGTACACATTCCCGCCCTCCCGTGGCTGTCGGCTTCGAGGTTACAAAGCACTGGCTCAGGCTTCTAGTGGATTCCACAGCAGATCAGCGCTGTGTGGAGCCGAGCGCAATTTTAGCTGTCCAGAGGTGAATTTTCTGAAATTGGTGCAAGGAAGGTTGAGAGAACATGATTAATTATTTCAAATCCAATTTTAAAATACGTTATTAAATTAGAGAAAAAGCTACCTGAATCGTTCTTGTCCTGCTGTATCCCATATCTGTAACTTCACATATTTACCGCCAACATTTATGATCTTTGAACCAAATTCCACGCCTATCGTATGATTTGAGTCATCTTTGACTAAAAAAGAAAAAGAAAAGCAAGCTATTTAATTATAGAGCATTAAGGTAGTAGGGTTATAGCTTTAAACAAGTCACACTAAATCAAGGGTTACGTCAATGGAAAATGTAATGTACTTTGGCCGTTCCTTCCTCCAACCATTGGCTGATAAGAAGCATTCACTGTTCTGAACAGAATAAACACAGCCCCTCTTCTTGAAGAGACAATAAATCTTTTTCTCAAAACCCATAAACAAACCACGCCCTTTGCAGCCCAGGCTCGGAGGCAGCCACCCCACATCAGATCCATACCCGACTGTCCACTGCTGGGGTGGTCACAGATGGGCCATCTAAATACCACCGTGCCACCCTGAAGGGCTTAATGTCCAGCGACAGGCTGGGAACTAGGTAAATAATGAGGTGGTCCTAGTTTCACCTATTCGGACAGATAAATTTCTAAAGAAATAAAAGGAAAAGGAAAAACACTGTGGCCCACGAAGGCAACATGACAGACACCAAAGACAAAGGGAAAAGTTGCAAACAACTGAACTAAAAATAAAAAACAAAGCAGAAAACAAAACCCTGTGCATGTTGCAGGGGTTAGGCTTTCATGAATTTCAGCATTGCACAGCAATACCTTGGAATTAATTTGTGGGAGAAATCAGTACTTCTGTCTGAACGGGCAGGAGACTGACAAAGTAAGCGTTCTGCTACACTCAACTGGACGACACTGCCCGTAAAAGAAAATTTCTGTGACGATGACAGGATGTACTAAAATCAAGTATCAAGGCTATATGGGCCGCTGACTAGAGTGTATTTTATTACTATAGAACAAAATCCAATTGTTCCAGAGCAAGGGGTGCTGCAGGGCAAGTGTATTTACAGCTTCCTGGGGTGGGGGTACAAGGTGGTGCTGACTAGGCCGGTCTGTCTCGGGCACAGATGGTGCAGAACTCGTGGGGGAACCGGGCTGGAAGTGAGCTGCAGGGGGGAGGCCCTCACAGGGTGACGACTGGCAGAGGCCACTGATACAACTCGGCCATGGGAGAAGCAAGGTGAAGCCCTCTCATCACCACGTCACGAGGAGCTGGAGGACCCTCCAGGGAGTTCTCCTTGGAAGAGAGAAGGGGGACAGGGCTGGGCACTTGGCCCAGCATCATCCTCTGGGGGTCCTTTCTGAGACCCTACAAAGCAAAGTCTCAGCAACTTGTAAATAAACTCGGATGACCAGAGAATGAATACTTGTGAAATTCAGTAAGGACGGGGTGTGACTGACCCGCTGGGTCCATGTCCCCAAACAGAGGCTCCAGCAAGCTCTGGGTTGATGAACGTGTGAGCAGAATAGATTTCTAGAATTTATGTATCCTGAGAACTCTCCACCAAGACGCCCCATGTGGCCTCTCTCCCCTTCAACACCGTCTGGGGGATCTCATGCGTACTGGCCTACGGCACACTTCATTAAACCAAATTCATTCTGTTTTTGAGCCTTCACACCAACTGCCACTAAACAGACAGGTCACTCTCCACAATTCTTTCCATTATTATAAATTCACTGCTTATTTTAAGGGCCTTTCAAACCTACAGTCTTCTACAATCTTGCCAGGCCTCCCACAATTTGGAAGAAAAAATTCAACCTCCTTTACCAGAACAGTGCGGGTCCATGGCAAGCGACTGGCTCTGCGGTCAAGCGCCTGCCAGCCTGTGCCCAAGAGCCCACTCCAACCGCCCTGCACCTCTGTTCCTGGCCTGCCAAACAGAACCGAGGACTGGAACTCCTTTGCTACAATCCAAGGCCATCATGAGGACCAAACGCTGTTACTTTACCCAGAACGTACACCTAGAGCTTCTCTGGCTGCTCTGCCAGGACATGGGATTCCTGCCAGAGGACCCCTGTGCTGCCTACAACGTCCCATTATCTCTCAGCATTGGGAAAACGTACCGTGTGAGTGACTCCGTGGTGGACCCCTGGAAACTGAAATGCTAACCATGTAAACTCGATTGCATTATGAAGAGTTTTATAACATGACCTTTCCAAGTTATTTAAACGTACTTTTAAACTACGACCTTTTTTCCCTGAAAAAAAAAAATGGGGAAGATTTACAGGGAGCAAATCTCAGGAGAGCCTCGGAAGACAGGCGGATACTTTTAAACTACGACCTTTTTTCCCTGAAAAAAAAAATGGGGAAGATTTACAGGGAGCAAATCTCAGGAGAGCCTCGGAAGACAGGCGGGAGGGCACAGCCATCGGAGGTCACTTACATTTCTTTTCAATGAACTGATGAAGCAAGCACGACTTGCCAGTTCCTGCGTTTCCAATAACCAAGAACTTAAACAAAAAGTCTGAAAGACAAAGAAGACCATGAACCGCAACTTCAAAACGGGTGCTGTGAATTTACTCTTAGACTACAATCGTCAAACTGAACGGAACCCTAGCTGTTAACATAAAAAAGACGGGCCTGAATTTTCTGTGAAAATGACAGTAAACATGTTGACTTACCTTTTTTTTTTTTTTTTTTTTTTTTTTTTTTTTTTTTTCCGGTTCG